CGGCTCGGCTCGGCTCGCCGCCCCTCCCGCCGCCTCCGCCACCCCCCTCCCGCCGCTGGCGGGGCGGCCCCAGGCTCGCACCGTGCTCGTCGTCACTGTCGCCGCCGCCGCTCTCCGGCTCCGAGTAGTGCCCGTTGGAAGGGCTGCCGCTCTTGGCGCCGTTGGGGGCTGCCCGGCTCTTACCCCCCAAGAGCTCCGCGCCCTTCTCCATCATGCCCGGCATGCCAGGGCTGGGAGCGGGGGAGAGCGGCGGCAGCAGCGCTGGCCGCCGAGGGGGGGGAAGTTAATACGGAGCCGCCATGTTGCCCCCTCCCCGCCCCCCCCTCGGGCACCTCCTCCCCCCGCCCGCCGCGCTCCCCCTCCCCCGGCGCCGGGAATCCCTCCGCGCCGGCCCGGCCGGATCTCGCCGAGGGGCGGGGGATGCCGCTGGAGCCCCGGCGGCGCGGTCGAAGGCGGGAAGGATTGCTCCCGCTCCCGGAGCGCGGCCGCCCCGCCRCGCCGCGGGGCTCTCTCGGACCGCGGGGCCAGGGCGGAGAGCGGACTATTTCCCGGCGGCGGCGCAGGGATCCCGGCGGGCGGGTGTCGCGGTCGCCGGTGGTGCCGCGGCGAGGGGCGGGAGGAGCCGCGGCCGCGGAGGGGCCGAGCGGGGCCGGGAGGCGCGGTGGGGCCCGGGGCGCCGGAGCGGGGCCGGGGCGGCCACCTCGGAACCGACCACCTCGGGACCGGGCCCTAGCGGCGAAAGCCRACGCTCTCACATCGATGAAATCACACGAAGTGCGGACCCGTGCTGGTTTTTCTTTCTAAATTCAAAAAGCGATCTGTTTATTTACCTGTTTAGTGCGATTCCGGTGCTTTACCGAGTGCTGCGGTGTTAGCATCCAGTTTTTATCAAATATTCGGGTTTTATGAGGTGAAAAAAGGCTGGGACTGGCACCAGACCGAGGCTGAGTTACAGTGTGGCAACAGTCTGACTACTTCATCTGGAGATGCATTATTAGTCTGGTTTGTTCTATGCAAAAGCATTTAATGTGGTTGTGGCTATGTTTTAATATGTGTTAAAAGTATTTTTAATGATGCAATGATAACTTGTCAGCCTGATTTCCAGAGGTAGGTGTGAAGAACGAGGTTCACCCTCCTGTTAAAATTTAAAAGGTTTTAATAAATGACAATAGGGTATATGAAAGCAAAAGGATACGGCACCGGGTGCTTGGCTATSTGCCAGAGGCACACCTGCTATTGACAGGAGACATCTTTAAATACATTTCGTGTTGCATCAGCTTGTTGCCTATTCATAGGCATTTATGCATATTCAAACTTTTCCAGGAATTGTTTAGCATGGCACCTCCTCTGGTGTAGCCCCCTGTTCCGTGGATTCAGYAGATGACAGTTGTTGATGGGGCAGCGTCTGTAGCASGGGCCCCTGGGCTGTCCATGCTGATAAGCCCATCCGAAGGTTGGGGGTCCCACCAGCCAGGCTCCTCTGTGCAGCAGAGGACAAACATTCCACGAGYTCTGACAGAGACTTTTCACTGCACATCCGAAAGCTTCTGTTCTTTCCACCCCCACCSTTTCRCTGTCAGGGTCTGTGCTGGCCTGGCAGCTGATGGCCCTGGGGCGATGGCTTCCCTAACCCAGAGGTGATAAGCATCATGATCTCTTTGTGAATGTATGCATCCTTTTCCCCAGCTCTGAGCTGCTTCTTGTCTTTAAGGATCACTGCCTCCAGGGCCTCATTCAGGGTTTTTTGGTGACTTTCTTTGCAGCTTTTGTATAGTTTTGCTATAGTATAAAAAAAATATATTTTATGGAAATGTTTAAGTCACAAGCCATAACACTTCAGTTTAACCACAAGTATTCTAYAACTATATCTGAGTTACGAAAGAAAAACAAACCCATCAGTGATGATTTTGCTGCTGTGTCTGCATAACTAAGCTACTTGTGCAAAAAAGGCAACGTTGTACACATAGCACTCATCTTAATATTTGTGAAAGCCAACACTATAATATGTGTTTATAACAGTAGGGAAAAAAGTTTGAACCTAAATTGCTGTATGTTGAACTAAAGTCTCATGTTCCGACTAAGACTGCCTGACACGATCCATTATCCTTTGTCACATCTTGGCAATTCTTCCCAAACTCTGCCCTGGCAGCTCTCTGCCCCAAGTTGGTTGATTGATTGATTGATTGAATAGTGCTAGCAGGAATGGTTCATCTGCTTTCTTACTGTGAGATAAAGGGGAGATGACTACTTGTATCCATACTTATGGCTATTAAGTGTTAATAGTGTCTTGTAGTAGGATTGTAACATGATATAGTTTTTTGTCATGTTTGCTGTATCTTGATACTTGCCTTGAAAGCAGCCCATTATGGCCAAATTACATACTTTCGAAAAGCCTTTGTTTTATGTTTGCTTCCTAGAACGTGTCGGGAAAATATTGTTAAAACTTCCTGCTTTGAGAATATTGTGGTCTTTGAAGAGCTGTTTTTGTGACAGCTTTTGGCAGATGACTGTCACAAATGGGAGTAAACAAGCTGTGACTCCTTTATGCTTGGTGTTCTCCAAGAGTTGAAGAGAAAGGTTAGTAAACAGGCAGTAGGAGCAAGGTGGTTGACTGCCTGCAAGTGCCACAACAATTGAGGATTTGCAGTTTCACCGTTGAAGGTGCACAAAAGGATTCACATAAGAATGCACTCATAAATGCCAGAGCTGCAAGAAAATCTTGAAACAACATTTTTACTTTTAAGGCACAAAATCAATATGAAAGCTTGCAGGAAATTGGGATTTGTTGTTTTAGTTCTCCTAAGGCCCTATTCAGAGCTTTTTAGCTTTATTTTCTGTGGATGTGAATTTTGGGTATACATGCAGCATTATGACTGTACTTACCTGACAGTTCTTAACTACTGATAAAAGCTACTGAAAGTTTTATAAACTATTACAGCTTTCAGGAGTGCTAAGTTCTTACAAGTGTACGAAGGTAACCACCTGAAAGGAAGAAAGATTCCTTGTAGCATGGTTAGGAGGGGAATTGTCTAAAGAGCTTGACATTTTTTTTGTTTCTGTTGTTTTCACGGCTGCTGTTTAAACTGCATTTCAGAGGTTACAATAAAAGGGCATAGGTTGACTTAGTCAARCACTTAGATATCACCAGATGCATGTAGTGATTTTTGTCCCCAYACAGCCTGAAAGCTGGCTTGCTTTGGACTATTTCTACTCTTGGATTTTTATCTTGTCYTTACCTTGTCCTCTGTTTTAATTTGGCTGTTTGTTTTTTACCCCCCTCTCCACAGATCCTCTGTCACATTCGGTATGTGGGTGCTTCTAGTTTAGATGTGACATGATAATCAGATAGTTGTTTATGAGATTGGTCCTGCATTTGTTATAGAAACTATGCATAAGGAGTTAGCTTAGACTAATATTAGCACATAGAATCATAGAATCACAGCATGTTTTGGGTTGGAAGGTTTCTTAAAGAACATCTAGTTCCAACCCCCTGCCAAGGACGAGGATGCCACTCACTAGATCAGGTTTCTCAGAGCCCCATCCAACCTGRTGYTGAACATTTCCAGGGATGGGGTATCCACAACCTCATTTTGTGTTGTATCCTTCCGTTTGTGCATCCTCATTCATCATTTTTGTTTCCAAACATAATCCCTAGAGGGCAGCAAAGTAACCAACGCATTCAGATRGTGCAACTTGGGACAATCTGAAGATTGTCTTTATGAGCCTACCAGTTTTTCTTTCTTGGAGCCAATGCCTTTCTTCTTAAAACTTATTTCCCAAGGCATAGTTTTAGGGGGAGAGTTTGTGTTTGGGCAGGAGGTGAGGAAATCTTGAAGTACAAAGTGGATTGCAAGAGAGGGGAAGGGAATTAGGGAATGGACAAATTGCAAACAAGGAAGGTGAAACAGTTGCTTCTTCCGTTTAAATRGAATTGCTAAAAGGCCTTAGTAGAAACAGCAGCTCAAAGGGAAACTTACCCTATCCATTAATTAATGCAGCTTAAAATCTACGTGGCTTTGAGGTTGCCAAACACAGGTTTGAGGCCTCTTGCAATCATCTTTGTTATTAAAGGTTCTTGGAATTCATTGCTTAAAATCAGGCTCTGATTGGACTGTGGACTCCTGCATATTATTACTCTACAGTGAGGGTTAATGACAGTATTAACTGTTGAGTGGTGAGCTAGGGGAAAGTAAAGATTGTTTATTCAGGAGAAAGTTAATTCTTAAAACTAGGTGGTCTAACATTCCTGTTACTATAGAATCATTTAGGTTGGAAATGACCTCTAAAATCGGGTCCAACCATTAACCCAGCACTGCCAAATCCACCACTAAACCACATCCCTAAGTGACACAGCCATGCTTTTAAATACCTCCAGGGATGGTGACTCCACTACTTCYSTGGGCAGCCTGTTACAACGCTTGACAACTCTTCAAGTTTTCCTAATATCCAATCTAAACCTCTCCTGRTRCAACTTGTGGCTGTTTCCTCTCATCCTCTAAATTATTACCAGTGAGAAGAGACTGATCCCCACTTTGCTATAGCCTCCTTTCAGGAAATTGCTGACAGCAATGAATATTCTCTTCAGCYTCCTTCGGTCCAGCCCACTCAGCTGCTCTTCATAAAACTTGTGCTCCAGACCTTTCACCAGCTTCATTACACTCTGGACGCTCTTCAGCACCTCAATGTCTTTCTTGTATGTTATGCCCATCTCACCTATGAAATTTCAAACTCATTAAATTCTAGGTCATGGAAAGTATTGCAGATCGCATATTTGGCCTTTTTCTCTTACGGTGACAGTTTCATGCTTTCAGTTTTTTTGGAAAGAGCATTTTGACAGTTTCCTCCCTTGGGAATGTTWCTTTGCACCATTTAAAATCTGTGTCTTTAAATATTTTTAGAAACAGGTCAAACAGATTTGTGATGCTTCTCTGGAAAAAAAATTATGGGTATATGATGTGCGTTKTGTGAAACCCAGAGAAAACAGAATAGCCATGAAACCTTTTGGCAATATTCAGCCTGGAAACTTGTGCTTTAATATGAAGGTTTATAATTGTTCCATRAAGAAAAGTAAGCTCTTTGTCATCATAAACACATTACCAAAAGCATGTCTGGGATCAAGGTATTTTCAGATAAATTACACTGCTTGGAGTCTGTTCACGCCTCTGCTGGAAAATATATAGGTGTCAGCTGTCAAGTACTGTGTTTCTTTTATATTAAACACAACTAGGCCTGCTGAGTGGTAAGTGGGAGGCTTAGAGTGGACAGGGTGAGATTTATTAGTTCTCTTTCACTGATGGTTGTTGCTGTGTTTCACRCAACATTCTTGGATTTTCCAAACTTCAC